GTTGGGCCAAGGGAGGTCTGGGGAAGTGTTGTCCACCTGCCCTTCCTCTCATGGAGAGAGCTCCATCCAACCCTCGCCCCTCTGGCCCTCCTCCCACTGCTGGAAAATCTTTCAAACTGACGCCCGTGTGCTGGGTCTCGGTGGGACCAGTGGAGCATGTCTGTCCCCCATGAGGGTCGGGAGTCTCCAGCTGTCCCTGCTTTCCAGCCCCACTGATCACCGGAACCCAGTTCAAAGGGGGCTTGTCTTCCCAGAGCAGATCTCCAGGGCCAGGTGCACAGAGCACCCTTCCCCTCCCTGCTCCGTTCCGCCTCTTCCCGCTGGTGAGCCGGCGCTGGGGAAGGGCTGGGGTCCTGCTGCATCAGGACTCTGCCACATTGTCCTCCCCCGTGTGGTCCTCTCCTTCCCCAGGGGCAGGCGGTCTGTCCTGCAGGCTTCAGGCCGCCCTCAGGGTCAGCTGTGTGTGAGTGGGAGGAGGTTTCCACCTTGCCTTCCTATTCCGCCATCTTTTTCCTCCTCCCTCTTTTTTATTCTCTGATTATCTTGCTCCTAATAAGAAATCTGTTGAATGTTTTTTAGATGTTGAGGACATGTTCACTCCCAGATCTCTCGAAGCTCTTCAGAACTCTGATGGATGTTCCCACTGTAGGGGATGCACGCCAGGACAATCTTGAAATAGATGAACTGGAAGATGAGCACATTAAAGAGGAACCTTCTGATTCTGAAGACATGTGAGCATGATGTCATTCATAAGTGATGGCACTAACAGAATTTCAAACTTTATGTGTAAATTTTACAGATGTGCCTTACCCAGACCTTCTTAAAAATTATCTGTGGCTGACTTTTCACCACTCCTGTACCTTTTTATAGCACATTTAAAGTGCAGTCAGGCCCATTTTGGTATGTATGTATGCCTCTAATACGATGACTTAGTCTCACTCGAGGAATACAAGAAAACCGTTTCTATTTGTGCTCTTTCTCACCTCTGAGCGTCCAGCACGCTGGCCTGCATATAGCGGGCACTTGATAAACGACGGAGAGGCCAGTGCAGTTGGCAGGCTGAGGACTGCTTCGCAGTGTGACGCACAGGCGGCCGGGATGCAGTGGGAGCTTGCGAGTCCTCACACTCTGCGTTGCCCAGGCTGCGACCAGAAGCGCTGCCTCTCCCGCCGCGTGTGATCGGGCACCCTGGTGGGGGCGGGGCAGCAGGGGGCCTCGCTGTTGTTTACATGTGCTGTGCATGTGCACATGCGTGTGCACTCGTGCAACCTAATCACTTTCACAAAAGTCCTTTCTCGTGGTTCGTAGGGAGTCTAGAATCCAGAAGTGAAATTTAACCCCTGCCGGGAGCAGTGGGCAGTGAATCTCAGACAGGACCCTCCCTCGCCGTCTCCGACGTCGGTCGCCCCTCTCAGCCCCTCAGACTGACATCACCGGCCGGCTTATCGGGGCAATAAAAGCAGAACACTCTGGAATGAATGGGTGTTTGAGGACGCACAGTGCAGTCACATCACCAGGAAAATAAGCTATGAAATACTAGAATTTGTATGATTTGTGTGGTGACTTTTCTTTTAATGTAGATTTCTGCATTTCACCTCTGCTTTTCAATAGAAAGGACTTGTTTGTATCCGATGGAAAGCATTGTTTCAGTCCCATGATTTTCTCCCGACAGCGCGTGAACCAGGGCTACTGCTTACCTGGCCCGTTTACTTTTGTTTTTTGCTTTTGTTAAGCCTTTCCTCTTGCTGCTTAAATTTCTTACCAAATTTTATCTTTACTGCCTCTTCTTTTTTCATTTTTCATGAAGTTCTGTAGTTGATTTGGTGCCCTCAGATTTGGAGGAAATGTTACCTTTTTATGCTTGTTTTCCCTGCTTGGCTGTGGTCATGAAGCGCTTTTTGTTTTCGTTACGCCTGTTGGAGAACATGGCCTTTCAGCTCCTTTTTGACTGACTAGGCGCTAGCTGAGTTTTTCCTCCAGCTTTTTATAAAACTGTCCACTTTTATCTGAGTGAACTATCCCTTATGTGTGGTGTGTGTCCTTTTAATTACTAGTTGATGACTAGATTTTATTTTAAATTTAAGTTAGGAGCTTTTTATATTAATTTGAAAAGCTAAGTTGTTTTTTAAAGTTACTCTGTATCCACACAGGGAAACTTCACTTGATGTTTTCCTTGTTTTTTTTGGTTCAAAGTTTACTCAAGGTCATAATAATACAAAAGCCTACTAAAAAGTGGGTTCAGGACCAGATTTTAAATTTCCTAAGACCTTTTAGTGCTTATTTCAGAGAATCTTAATCTTCCCATACTTTTCTTACAATGGCAGGCCAGCACCCCTATCATTTACTTTAACAGCATCTGTGGAGAGCATTACTCCTGCAGGCCCGCCACCGGGTTTTACCGACAGGTGAGTGGTTGGCATAGTGATGTACGTGGCAGGTGTGTGTGGCCTGTTAGTCTCATTAACTGTAAGTACTTCCCATCAAATCGTCCACGGATCTGATGGCCCCTCATTCGGATTAGATGCTTTGCTTCCCTGTTGCTCCTGCAAAGTGTAGGTGTTTGTGCACATAAATAACAAAATAAGGTTATTTCTACATTAAAAGATAATTTTCTTTTTCTGTTAATGGAAATTTTATTCAAAGTCTTGCATAATACCATTTGTGTTTTAGCTCTTCAGTAAATATTTGTTTATTTCATTAGAGCCTAAATTTTGAGGATGGTCTTAATCAGCCCTGCGTCCTATTTGTCATTCTTTTCTGGTAGACAAAATTCTCAATGTGCGTACATAATCCCATTCAGATAACTTTATATGTCCAAAACCTCAATTTATTCCCAGTCCACAAACTTTTCCATTTGCTACTTTAGGAGAAAGAAACAAATCATAAGAGAAATAAAGTTGATGAGTCCTTTTCTTGGGTAACACAGAAGAGGTGAAAATACCTAGATTTGAATCCTCTGTTTCCTGTTTATTGACTGGCCTTGAGCAAGTCACTTAAATACTTTCAGTTTTCAGATTTCTGAAGTGAAGTTTGTATAGGTTAATTTAAATAATAGGATAAAATTATTGAATTAATGTACTTAATGAATTAAAGTAGTATGTAAATATAAGGTATTAATTCCATAAATTAGTTCATTCCAACATCTGTAATACCATGAAAACAAAATGAATATCCTGAGCCATGCCTTGGGAACATAATTCTCCATGAATATTACTGTGGTTAGTATATAACACAGTAAAGGCTATTTATCAGGTATTTGTAACTCCTGGGGGAATGCACCTTCCCAGCCCAGGACAAAATACCTTTGAAACTGAAATCAGTCAAAGAGAGAAATAAAGTGTGAGAGACCCGTTTATTGCTTACAACAGTCGTCCACCTCTGCTCGCCCGTGTCTCTCACAACCTGGCTGCAGAAAGGGGCCCCACCCAACCTCTCCGGTCCAGATATGCCCTCCCTCCCCCTTGTAATTACCTATTGGTGTAGAGATGGACTGCTTCCCTCCGCCTCTTGGGAACATCTGTTGATATGGACACGCACTGAGGCCGGGTGAGAGATTCTGGAAATGCTCTAGTTTTACCCACAGCATTTTAGAAACATCTTCAAGAATTAGCATCTAAAGATAAGTAGCTCTTTTGTTCTCTAGATATTCTGTTAAACTAAACATGTAGCTCCCTCAGTATTTTCATTTCTAGAGGTTCAGATGCCCAGTGAGTGCTAATGCAGTGTGCTGTCATACATCCACACCAAGATTTCACTGTTTCAAAATTACATTAAAGAAAAACATTTGCAAATTAGTATTTGTTTTCAGGTAGTGAAAAACCTCCTTCGCCTGGCCTCTTCAAATGTTGAAACATTCTTTCAAAATTTAAGCAGCAAATACAGCTGATGGTGTGTGATTTCCTTTGGCACATCAGGACCATTTTACGCCAGTCGTCTTCCAGCTCGCGTGTTCCAGAATATATGTCATGTGCTATGTTTATCAATTGTACTGATCTCCATTTCCTTTGTTAAATACTAGGTAGGGTTTTTCAGATTTCTTTTTATCCACTCTTAGTACTTTTAAGTAGAAAGGAGTGCGTGGCATATTAAGTTGAGGTAAAATTTCAGAATGAGGTAAAGTCTGGTTAATGTGTGATTTGTACATTTCAGTGTCTTTGAAGAATCGGACACAGACCTGCAGGCGCTGCAGGCCTCAATGGAGCAGCTGCTCAAGGAGCGGCCGGGGGATGCGGGCAGCGAGGAGGAGGAGCCGGGGCTGCAGAGCAGGCCGGGGGGGCCCCCCGCCCCCGGGCCCGAGCTGGCGGAGGACGACAACCCCAGCAGCGAGAGCGCCCTGAACGAAGACTGGCACTCAGGTGCGCCCGGCACCGGCCTTTGCCCTCCCAGTGTGTGCAGATGTTTCCGGGGTATTTTTCTAGCATCTGATGTGAACCATTTCCAGCTCTAGAATGAAGACCGAAGCACGCGTCTGTGTCTCAGACATTATTGTTTTTCTTTCACATCAGTGTGCAAACATGTTACTCCATTTCTTTCTCATTAAATTATGGAAATGCTTTTTTGAAGTATTTTTTGTTGTTGTTATCCTCCATTTCTTCATTTATCTTTCTGCTCATGAAGATAATAATTTAGTGCCTTAGCACTTTGTTTTACAAAGAGCTTCCACGTGAGCGTGACTGACCATTAGGGCTAATGTAACACCAAAAGCAGGTTTTAAACTTAAGTATTCTACTTTTAGGTGTGGAAACTATTCTTTGTTCATAGCATCACCCACAAGATGCATAGAAAATTTGTGTTTTTCAGGAGCTGTGTTATGTGTATTTGGGAAGAAGAGCTAATGTGTAAAAGAAATTCTTCAGTAATTCTGTCTTTTAATAGACTTTTCCAAGAATCCTGGACATCTAAGTGACATAAAACATAGAGCATTTATAATACTTTCTAGGCACTTTCCTCAAGTTCTCTGATAGGCATGTTAGGTCACCTGCCTTCTGCATGCTTTTTCATGTTTTGGCCCATGTTCAATACCAACTTTTTAAAAATTAGCAATTAGGGTTCATTGTCCCAATGCAAAACATATAGGTACACTTTTTCCATTTATACTAAACTAGATAACAGGTCTATGAATTTTCTTATTCTGACCTAATTTGCTTTTTGTGTCTATAAAAGTTTCCCAAAGTAACTTTCTTATTAAGACAGACAGATTCATATATACATCGATTACCTATGTAAGTGGCACATATTATCACAACAGAAACTGCATATTGAAAATACAAGGAGTCTACTACAATGACATTGTTCACATGTCATAGAATTTTAGTCTGATAAGGTAAGAAATCATTTTATTCAGTCATACTTTTTAGTCACAAAATACCTTCTCTGTACTCGTGTTTTTCAGATGACAGCGATGGTGAGATCACTAGTGAATGTGAATGCGATAGTGTCTTCAACCACTTAGAGGAACTGAGACTTCACCTAGAACAGGAAATGGGCTTTGAAAAGTTCTTTGGGGTTTATGAGAAAATAAAGGTAAGTAAATTGTCAGTTAAAACCTTTAATTTGAAATATGCCCTTGTTACCAAAAACCAGTCCTTGTCACCAGTCAAATCACAAAACACAATGACAAGGTTTTAAGGAAAGGAAAATATATTTATTAATTAGCCAGCAAATGAGGGAGTGGCAGGCTCCTGCCTTAAAGAGCCACTGTCCCCCGCAAAGCACAAACAGGGCTTTTAAAGGGGAAACCTGTGGGACAGAGGCTGTGGTGTGCATGGCCACAGACACATAAAGTAGCCACTTGCAAGGATCTCGGCAGACATTCTTGCACTGATTGAATTGCTCTTTGTTTCTCTTATTGGTTCCTCCTCAGTCCCTGGGACAGGAAGGCTTGGCTTCTGCAAAGTCAGCTTTCTGCACGCGGGCTCAGAGACGGGGGACCAAGGGAAACTGCCCCCACCGCTAGGGGTTTACAGGGTTGGGGGCTCCTCAAGTTCATTTTCAAGTCAATGTTAGTGTTAAATTTTAAACCCAGAGATTTAAACTTTCCCCTGTTACACTCTGTTTGAATTACTAATGAAATGTCAGTCGTTTTTATAGGTTGAAAGATTTATTGTAAATAATAAACGAAGTGAATATTCAGATGTTAATTTATATTGGGTAATCTGGCATAGGCTATTCATGAGGATGAAGATGAAAATATCGAGGTCTGTTCAACAATAGTTCAGAATATTTTGGGAAATGACCATCAGCACCTTTATGCTAAGATTCTTCATTTAGTCATGGCGGATGGAGCCTATCAAGAAGGTAAGATTCCCTCACCTCTTCATATTCTCAGTAAATGCACAAAAACCAAGATGACAAATGTGAATTGACAGCTTATATCACGTGCATTTTGATGAACCACCAGAACCATATCTAGTACTTTTAAACAATTATCAAATCAATCATGTCACATACTTGTACAGATTCTGTGATACACTTTTGTTGACATAAGTACTTTAAGTTGACTTTTTATTTAATTTATAGGTGCATTTGAATGAGATTTTTTTAAAAGCTTCCCTATTGGACTGCTCTAAAAAATGATAATACTTTCTTATCAAGGATGTAATATTACACTTTTAGACACATATACTTGAGCAATATTTAAAATTTTTCCTAAATAATACCAAATATAATCTCTTCAATTCAGAGTAAATAGAGTTCATCTATAGTGATTTGAACATAAACTATTTTTATAGTTGGAAAATATTTACCTATAGGATTACTCAAAATATGTTAGGACTTTTTAAAAGTAACTGAAGTTGACAATCATTTTTCCTCTTAAATGTAGTCAAGAGCCCTAAACTTGGAACCAAGAGAACAGTATATAGTCCTGCCTCTGACAAGCTAGTCATGTCACACTGGGTGATTTATTTCATCTAAGTTTAAGTTTCTTTTGCTATAAAGTAAAGAGATGATCTCCAATCTCGCGTACTGTGAGTTCTCTAAGTACCTGTGCACGGGTCTGGTGTGCCTGGCAGTTATTTCTGTGGACATCATCTGTGCTTATGTTGTATACAGTTTCCTGGGAGATGAGACATAAATATATATGAAAGTATAAAACTATATTAAATTTTCATTCTAAAATACTTTTCAGTGCAGCTGGAATTAGAGAAGGGGATGTTGGGCTGTGAAAAATGGAAAGAAGTTTAGTGCTTAACTTGTGGGGAAAACAGTGAACCAGTAATTAATGCGTATTAGGATTAAGTGGGTCATACTGGAAACTTCTTGTTGAGAATTATTCTTCATGATAAGATACTGTAAAATGCTTAAACTACTTGGAAGGATATCAGTGAAGGTTTTTGAATGAAAAAACTGACAGTGAAAGAGGTGGTTTATAAAGTTTAATCTGGCAGCAGTATTCTGGTAAACTCGGAGAGTTCTCATGGAGAGTTGTCATCATGGAGAGTTATTTCCAACCAGGATCGGAATAAGATCTGTCTTGAAGCTACAAATGCACGTCAGAGCCGTCGTGGGTCTGGCCCCAATGCCACCCGATAGAGCAGGTCACATGGACTGCCTGGCCCCCAAGCGCCTGTGTAAGTCATGTGCACACTATACTGTGGTCTCACTGGTGTGCAGTGGCACTATGTCCAAAAAACCATACATGCCTTATTTAAAAAAATCCTTTTCTTGTGGAGTATAACAACAAAGCAAACCTGAAGGAATAAAATAGCAGCAGACTCACAGACTCCAAGAAGAGGCTAGTGGTTACCAAAGGGGGTGGGTGGGGAGGGAGGGAGAAGGGGATTGTGGGGTATCACAATTGGAGCACAGGGTGTGTCTGGGGTCACAGGGAAGACAGGGTAGCTCAGAGAAGGCAATTTGTGACTCTGTATCATCTTACTACACTGATGGACAGTGACTACAATGGGGTATGGGGGGAGTCGATCATGTCAAGGGTGAATATAATAACCACATTGTTTTTCTTGTGAAACCTTCATAAGATTATATATCAATGATACCTTAATAAAAAAAGAAAATATTTAAAAAAAATCCTTTTCTTGCTGAAAAACATACTAACCATCATCTGACTTTTCAGTGAGTTGTAATCTTTTGCTGGTAGAGGGTCTTGCCCCAGTGTTGATGGCTACTGACTCATCGAGTGGTAGTGGCTGCTGAAAGCTGGGGTGGCTGTGGCCATTTCTTAAACTAACACACTGGTGAACTTGGCCGCATCAGCTCACCCTTCCTTCCACAGACGCCTTCTCTGGAGCATGTGATGCTATTTGATAGCATTTTACCCACATGAGAACTTTCAAAACTGGAGTCAATCCTCTCAAACCCTGTCACTGCTTTATCAACTAAGTTCATGTAATATTCTAAATCCTTTGTCATCATTTCAATAATCCTCACACATCTTCGCCAGGAGTAGATTCCATCTCAAGAAACCACCTTCTTTGTATGTAAGAAGCAGCTTCTCATCCGCTCAAGTTTGATCCTGAGACGCAGCAACTCAGTCACATCCTCAGGCCCCACTTGCACTTCCTGTTCTCCTGCTGTGTCCGCCACGTGTGCAGCGACTTCCTCCACTCAAGGCGTGAACCCCTCCGAGTCACCCGTGAGGGTGGGAATCAACTTCTTCCAAACTCCTGTGAATGCTGGTATCTTGACCTTCTCCCATGCATCACGAATGCTCCTAATGGCATCTAGAATAATAAATCCTTTTCAGAGGGTTTTTCAATTGACTTTGCCCAGATCCTATGGCAGCTGTAGCCTCATGAAATGTATTTTTAAGATAATAAGACTCGAAAGTCAAAACAACTTCTTGATCCTTGGGCTGCAGGATGGATGTAGTGTGAACAGGCATGAAATCAACATTCATCTCATCGCACATCTCCGCCAGAGCCCTTGGGTGGCCAGGGGCATCGTCAGAGAGCAGTAATATTCTGAAAAGAATTTCAACACTGGGCTAAAAATATTCAGTTAACTTTGTTGTAGACACACGTGCTGTCATCCAGGCTTTGCTGCATTTATACAACACAGGCAAAGTAGATTTAGCATAATTCTTAAAGGCCCTAGGATTTGGGGAATTGTAACTGGAACATCAGCTTCAGCTGAAAGTCACCACCTGCATTAGCCCCTAAAAAAAGAATCAGCTTGTCCTTTGAAGTTTTGAAGCCTGGCATTGACTTCTCCTCTCTTGCTATGAAAGTCCCAGATAGCATCTTCTTCCATAGAGGCTGTTTCTTCTACACTGAACACCTGTTGTTTAGTGCAGCACCTTCATGAATGATCTTGGCTGGAGCTTCCGGGTTACTTGCTGCAGCTTCTCCATCAGCACCTGCTGCCTCACCTGCACTTTTATGGAGACAGTTCCTTTCCTCAAAGCTCATGAACACCCGGGACGCGAGCGGAGGGGGAGCGCAACACTGCTCAGTCCCTCGGCGCTCAGCCCTCCAGTGACCGTGAGTGGCCAGCACATGCAGGGAGTCTCAGGAGTCCACGGCCACCACCGTGACTATCACGACACTCAAGGGGGCTCTTCTCTAAAGGATGGCTGTTCAAGGACTATGAAATAACACCACCACTTTGGGGGAAAAATGGGAGAACTTACATATCCCAAAAAATAATAGTTTCTTCAAAGTGGGATATAGGCTTTTCCTAATGAAGATGTTCCATCACACAGAATATCTTGAAACTTTTGAAATTTCCCTGATAGTTTATATACCAGGGTCTTTTTTTATATATATACCAAGTTCTGTAGATAGTCCTTGATACAAGCCTTTATTCTGGGAGCATTTAATTTTTTTGTGAAAAGCTTTAAGTTACTTGACACCAAGTTTAGTAAATGAAGTGGTAAGCAAGATAAATAATATGTGGTGTTTTTGTTTTTGAGTATCTCATAATGAAGTAATGAGTTTACTTTTTAAATAAATTTGTAAACTGATTCTAAATATTCTGGACAAGAATTCATTTCTAGAATATTTGTCAAAAAATTAATCCTGTTGCTTTAAAAATAAGATTTCTAGGCTAAAACTGAGGCTTTACAATGTTGGTGCTTAATTTTAGCAATATAAACTTTTATAAGATGTATTTATATTCCATCTTGTTCAAAGAAGTTTAAGATTGCATTTTAAAATGTATACGTACAAGGTAAAATTAAGCTCAAAGCAAGTGTTTGGGAAAGTCAACGTACTGGGCAAAATGAGCAAGCTAGTAAAATATAAAGCCAACAATGAAGTAAGAATACACGAATTTGCTGATCTTTCTAGCAAAGCAGGAAACCTGATTAATTACATGAGTCAGTGTTCATGAGACAAAACATGTCAGTTACGCAGAAGACAGCTTCTTTTGGCCATGAAACAAAGGAAAAATTTTCCACACTTGTCAAAAAGGGCATGATCATGCAGGCGGCTCGAACTTAAATAACATATGGATTCTTTTAAAGGGGAAGATTTTTTTTTCAGATTCTAAGAATCTAAGTTCACCTCAGTCTAAGTTCACTCTAGTCTTAGTCTTTGAAAATGTGTCGTGAATTATTATAAAATAGATACCTTTTTCCTAAATATTAAAAGATTGTTTTTCTTATCATCAAAATAAATCTGTAAACTTAAACATTATCCGGAGCTTGCGGATTTCCGATTCGATTGAGAGCTTAGACCCCATTGTGTGGAACCCCGTGAGGGACTGAAAAGCCCCGCCGGTGGGTCTTCCGACACTTGGGTCCCCGGGGCCCTTCCGCGCCCCGCGACGCCCCTCCTGACCGGCAGGCGCCCCGAGGGTGACTCCTTCCAGCAGGTCGGTGCGCAGTCCCGAGCTGGCCCTGTCCGCGGGTGGCCGCCGCCCGTCCGCCCGCCCCGGTGCAGCCTCCCCGATGCCCGCGGCGGGGCGCGTGCCGGTCGTGTCGCGGGGCAAGGGCCTGGGGGCGCCTCGTGTGCGGGGCTCTGGAGGCCCGCCGAGCCGCGGGGTGCCGCTGACGCCCTGTCGGCAGCTGAGTGGCTCCCAGAGCAGCAAGGCCGCTTCCCCTCCAGACCCCCGAGCGCCGGCCAGGCCAGCACAGTCCGCAGGCAGCAGCGCCGGATTTCCCTCCCTCGCCAGTGGGCAGGGGAGGGGGCGCGGGGGGCCTGCACGAGGCCTGGTAGCGGTACCGGTCCCGTAACCTAGAAAAAAATGCACAACTGTTAAAGCGAAACGCCTACCTTGGAAACCTGTCTAAAAAAAACATGACGACTTACTGACATAGCGACTGTCTAAGCTGTTTGTAAAATGTACATTACATTATCTGAATAAGTTAATTTGCTTTTTTGTATTATTGATCATAAGACAGTTAAATGTCAGACATTTAAGTAACTGTTTTAGAGCCCTTCTTGCTGGAAATACTTAAACCTGGTCTCGCTGTCTACAGCTGCCGTCTTCTAGGCCACACGTGGGAGGTAATAATAAAGTCGTGTCATCTGCGTGTGGTACTGACATGCTTTTATTTTCTGTGTTGGGGGAGGGGGTTGGTGGGAGGGGCTGTGAGAGCGTCCACAGCTGCGGCGGTGGGTAAAATCATGCCAGTCCATCGCCAGGCACTATGCAGTCAGAAGTCAAGTAGAGCTAGTAAAATGTGTTTTTTTCGTACCCCTAAAATACTCCATAAGGAGAGAAGGCGTACACCTGTGGCCAGTGTGGAATCGCCGAGACCACCACGTCATGCAGAGCATTGGTTTTAGCAGCCCAGCCTGTGAATTAAGGAGGCACATACCTCCTTCCACACTCCTTTTAGATAAACTTTTGTGCTGTTTATGCAATGAAATTCTGTGTAGTAGTTAAAACAGTAGATTCCATCAGTAAATATGGATAAGCCCCCAAATATGGTGAGTTGAATAAATATTACATGGCTTTATTTAGATGTGCCTATGTGTAATAAAAGTAAAAATCCATGGGCAGAAAGGCTACATACACATCAATTTCAGGACAATGATACACCCCGGAGAAGAAGAGATTGCACTGAGATCAGGAAAGGGTCCTCTCTCTCTGCGACTTGTTTCTCCTTGTAAGTAATCCAAACTAATTCAGCCAGAAGTTAACTCTTCTAAAGTCTAGGTATTAGGTACATGTGTGGTTCATTAGTTTATTCTCTGTACTTTCCCATTTGAAACCTTTTGTAATTGTAAAAAATAAGTGAATTATAGTAGAGTGATCAGCAGACCGTCAGGAGCAGAAGACGTATGCCACGTCAAGTGAGGATCCAGCTAGTTTGGAAGAAATGGAGATGCCGGGGTAGTTCTTCCGACGGGGCAGGAAACCGGATTTGGATTTTGAAAGATGAATTGGAATTTACCCCACATCAGTATGTGAGAGGGAAGCAAAATACTGTATTAGGGAACTATAACCAATTCAGTGTCACTAAAGCATAAATTACAGGAACAGCTGGGGAGTATCAGCGATGGGTGTAGATCAGGTTGGAAATATTAAAAAGGCCAGATCATCAGCCGAAGGGCTTTGCAATCCGAGGCTCCATCCTGAGGCAGTGGGAGCTCGCGAGCTCGCAAAGGGTTTTACTCAGTGCGGGGCTTGAGATGACACTTGCGTTTTAACCAAAGATCACTTCTGCTGGAATGTAGAAGACAGTAATTACTATGTAAGATTAAATAAGCCTGTTTAACTCATTCAACAGTACTTTTTTAAAGTAAAAAAAAATTGGAAATAACCCTTTTATTTCATATAAGATATTTTGTATGTGAGTAAAAATGGCTAATTTAATTATTCTATATCCATAAAATAGTCTTTTTCAACAAAGTAAAATTTTCATCATATGCAAAAAGTTGAAGGAAATTTGCAGTTAACAGCCATATATCTACCACTGAGATTCTGTCATTAACATTTTATATAATCTTGCTTTATCACTTACTTAACCATCTTTAAATCCTCTGTGTCTCAAGGGGAAAAACAAGTCTCAAACTGTATTTTGTTGTAATTTTTAAAAAGATATTTGTATATGCATAAGAAAGCATCTGAAGATTTATATAAAATCACTAACATTGGTTATCTTTGGCTTATAGATGATTTTGTTCCCTACTCTATTCTTTATTGTATTGTCTGCATATTTTATACTGAGCTTGTGGTATTACAACAAAAACTACATTAAAGCTCTTTTCCTTTAGTGTGAAAAAAAATGTTTTTTACCACATAGATACATATAGCTTGATGTGCAGTGAAGTGACTTAAATTTCTTTCTTTTGTCTACAGATAATGATGAATAATCCTCAGAGTATTCTTTAATCCTCACCTGTATGGAAGCATTCACATTTGGCTCCTAAGAATAACAAGCTTCAGTGGGAAATGTAGCAATATTTTATAAGTGAAATATCAGGTTTAAGGTGGGCATGCTGAGTGCATGAAAAAGATGGAGAAATATACCATTTTCAACTAAGTTTCTGGCATTTTATCTATTTTATTTTGTTCATTGAGTTCTTTAGTTGCCACCTACAGAATACGTGCTTTATAAGTCATACAAGGAAAGTTTAAGAGGCTGACAGAACTGGTTGTACTCGTTTTGAAGAAGATTTACCGCAGGCCTAAGAGGCTGACGGAGAACTGGACTTCCTGGTTTGAAGATTCACGGAGCAGCAAGGTAACTTTCCCTTTCAGCAAAGGCCTTCAAGCTGCAAGACCTGCTCATGTCGTGGAAGACCTGCTCAGGGCTTTTCAGTCGTGGGTTCAAGGGCGACCTTTCTTCTGTCCGCCTGTTTTCAGGGCCGGTTACTTGGTGTCGCCTTGTCACGGGCCCTGTTCAAGTCTTTACATTGTGAAGATGGAAATTTTAGCCTTAAAGTTTGTATTCTGTTCTTTTTCAACCAGTGTGTCTCCTGAACTAGCTCAGTGGAAACAGGCTGTAGAAAGTCTTAGAAATCATTGAAAATTCTGATTACAAAAGAATGGCAGAATTGTATTTCCTAATATTTAAAGTTGGTTAATTGCTTCTGTTTCTCTTTAAGGACCAGAGCCAGGAATATCCTATACAAAAAGTAGCCTGTGAATCCTGATACTGGCCCAGTGGATGACGTAGAATTGCCCTTTTTGTTCCTCACTTTCTCTCATGCTGTGCTTCGAGGCCAGTATGAAACTAAAAAGGAAAAAGGAATTGTTTTTATTTCGACCCTGTGACAGTTCTGGTAACTAGTATTCCAAAGGGAAGAAATGTATGCCTCTTTTATTTCCATTATGAGAGGCTTTAGTTAAGTCATTTAGATGATGGTCACACAGCTTCAGCTGCAATATGCCGAGTATTACATTTCATTAGACGTGTCTGAAATCCCAGATGCTTTTAGTAGTAAGAGCAGAATTTTTGAAATTCTGAATACAAAGCAGCCTGATCGGCATAATTTACAATTTGAACAATTAAATCTTATCTTGCAGCACTATCAGTACAATGCTGAATTTGTTACGTATATTATTTCTAACATCCACAACTAAATACTTGATTTTTATACGTTTGTTTATTTTATGGTATTACTATTAAATTTTTATTAACTACCTGAAGTGTACACTGTTGGTTGTCTTTTATTAGCACTATTCTCAGTAGAATGCATTTACACAGAGCTGAGAATACTTTCATTTGTTTTACCTGATGACTTCTTTTTTTTAATGGAAAAATATTTGAATTCTGCACTTTAATTATCTATAATCCTGAAAGATGAGAATGATTTGACAGGGGGTGGAGAGGGTGGGCAGAGGAGCAATTAATTGCTAATTCTTAACTTACTATAGCCATTATAAAAACAAGTATGGGTATAATCGTAGAAAAAGTTGTTCAGCCATATTTCAAAAGATGTCATATATACAAGAATAGGGATGACAAGCAGGCTTTGTGCCACCTCCAGTCAATGGGTAGTGAGTGAGTGGCTCTGGAGTGTTACTATGGAAAGGTTGTCTGTGCCAATGGAGAAAAGGGCTATTCTTGCTCAGTAAGGGCTGTTACAGGTATTGGAGGTTAAGTGTACAAGCATCCATAGGTTCGTGGAACATTAAAGCTAGAAAGGTTTATCGGGATAGTTTAGTTACGTCTCCCTCTAGCAGGGAAGGCACCGAGCTGTAACATGAATGAAGTCCTTTGCGTGAGTGGCCACGGTCGGACCAGTTCCAGGTCTCAAACTGTGCTATCAGTTGTACAACTCTTTTAAATTTTATTTTCTCTAGAAAGTGAAAAAGAATAGATTCCATAGGAAAAAGTACATTTAGCATTAATGCATTAAGGATTCTATAGAGATTTCCTGTTTTGGGGAATAACACACTATTCTAATTAGCTTCCCTGATGAAAACAATTTTTAAACACTAAGTAAAGTGGTTTTTTCCCCCCTAGACACATACTCTGCCCTTTATCACTTTATTAAGGGTGGATCTTTGAGAATTTGTCTGTGTCTGTGTAAAAATGTACACCTAAGAACACAGAAGGTGTGAGAAGAGGGATTGCAAGGCCAGAGCCTCAACCCAGAAACCAGCGCGGTGTCGGAGAGGAAAAGGGTGCTTCTGACCCAAGACTATGGGCAACACCTCACACTTTGGTGTAGTTGGTCCATGCAGGAAAGGGGGTACAGGGCAGAAACAAGTGCCATCCAAGTTGGAGAATCCTCTAAGACACCCTGCATTAAGGTGGGACTCTAAAAGGTTGCATCCTCACATAAGGGAGAAGAAAGTAAACCCAACCCAAACTCAGGGACTGAAGGAAGAGAAAAAATAAGGGCAGAAAATTCCTGAGAAGTTGTGGCCACAGACCAGCCATCAGGTGGTTTTATACCTTAACATGAAAATCTGCACGGGCCGGGGAGCCCCAAACTCCAGCATAGTTGGAGGGAGTTCCTAACTGGTAGCGTCCCCATGAGCCTCACAGAGGTCATTCCAGTGCCTCTCTGAAGGAAGGCACATTTATTTTCTGTCTTGAAGACTACAATAAATAAAATTTTAAGAACAAGAAAATAGTACGCAAGAAATCAGGACCATACAAATGGGAGGTAGCAGGAATGGGATGTTCACAGACTTTAGATTCAAAATTATCAGAAATCTATTATGAAACAACTACACTTAACTATATTTTTAAATGGTCAAAGATTTGAAAATATCTTCAGGGAAAGAAAAACCAAAAAGTGATGTGAATTTGAAGAACCAAATGGAATTTATCTACATGAAAAACACAGTAAATTTCAAAACTTGGTGGACATGCTTGGCAGCAAACTATACATGGCAGAAAAGAGAAAAAAACTGAAAGAATTAGCCGTAATATAGTACAGAGAGAGAAAAAGATGGAAAGTGAAGAACAGAAGCTAGGAGAGATTTGTTAACAATGTCTAATGTATATTTGATTGGAGTCCTAGAGAAAAAGAAAGAATGGGGTAAAATTACTTGGAGTTTTTTAAAAGGCTGAAAAATTTTCCAAGCTATTGGAAGACACCAATCCACAGTTTGAAGAAGCCCTTGCATTTCAGGCAGGATAAAGGAAAGGCATGCATAATGTCTTCACAGTAAAACTGGAAAATCAAAGACAAAAATCAAAGTCAAAGATAAAAAGGCATTCTAACTTCAAAGGAATTTAAAGGCTGACAGTTTTTCAACAGTAGTAATGAAACAGTGGAATGGTATCTTCAGTGTGCCAAAGGATTATAATTGTCATAGCAAAAATGTGTTTGATGAATGAAAAAAATGAATTCTGCCTACCATCATTGGCCATGAAGAAGTAAAAGGGAGTGGGTTTACCTTTCCACCTTTACCAAGTCAAACACTAGATGAAATACATGAACCAATGCTTTTCAGACAGTGGGCAACAGACAACAAAGGGCAAAGATCGTTACAAAAGTGAAATGAATGAAGCCTTGTGATTGCCCAAGTTTACTGCATAGAAATAACACAGGAGCCTGGGGACCCATACAAAACAGGTTTCCCTAAGTTGAGGAGACAGAACTTAAGAGAAAGCAGCCATAATTTGCAGAGTGGAGTACAGAGAGACCTGCACAGAGCTGCTAGAAAATCCCCAAATACTTGGGAACGAAACAGATTTCTGAATGACTCATAGATCAAATGAGAAATCACAGCCAAAATTAGAAAATAGTTTTAACTAAATGAAAATTTTAAATGATCCATATCTAAATTTGCACGGAGCTAAATTTAGCAGAGCTTACAGTGAAATTTATAGCACTAAACACATACATTATAAAGAAGCGACTCATGATTTGACTTCTACCTGACCAGAGGGAAAAAACAGCAGCAAATTAAACCCGAATTAAGCAGAAACAGGGAAGTGATTTTTTTAAAGGCATGGAAATCAATGAAATGTAAACAGAAAATCAGAGAAACCAAAAGCTAGTTCTTTGGGAACATCAATAAAATTGATTAATCTCTAGAAATATCAGGAGTGAGAAAAGACCTATCACTGCAGATCTAAGAGACATTAAACAACAGGGAAGTAATAAGAATATGCCAATGTATTTAACAACGTAGTAAAAATGGCCACATTTCTTAAAAGTCAAAAACTATTAGCTTGGGCTGCTGTAGTAAAATACCATAGACTGAGTGCCTTAAATATTGGACATTTATTTTCTCACAGTTCTGGGGCTAGAAGTCCAAGATAAAGGTTCCTGATGATTCGATTTGTGGTGAAAGCTCTCTTCCTGGCTTGCAGAAACCACATTTTCTCTGTGTCTTCACATGGCCTTTTCTTGGTCTGTGGGATCAGGGACCCATCTTTACGACCTCATTTAACATTAATTACTTCCTTAGAGACCCATCTCCTAGGCACACTGAACGCTACGGCTTCAACATACCGACTTGTGGGGACACAGCCTTCAGTCCATAACATTACCAGAGCTCTTCCAAGAACACATAAATGTCGGAATGGTCTTATATCTAATTATGAAATTTAAATTTCAGTTTGAAACATTTCCATAAAAGAAACTTTGGACCCAGATGGCTTCAGTGATCAATTATCTCAAACATTTCTGGGAGAAATAATACCAATTCTACACAAGCTGTTCCAGGGAACATTTTCACACTTTTCTAAGAGCACAGCATTACCTTGTTCTTAAAAAAAATTACAAAGTTTATAGATTCATAAATCTCATGAACATAGATGAAAAAATTCTTAAAATTTTAGCAAGTCAAACACATTAACATATAAAAAAGACAATGCATCATAACCAAGTGGATTATATGCCAAGAATGCCAGACAGGTCTTACATTCAAGCTGTGTTACTCATCGTGATAACAGACTCAAAACAAAACAAAAAAACCAACCATATGATCATCTCACTAAATGCAGAAAAAACATTTAAGAAAATCAAAGTCTTGGCAAACTAGAAGTAGAAGGAAATCTCTCGAGCTAATAAGGATCAACTTGAAAAAAAAGAAAGCCAAGGCTAATATAACTTATGGTGAAATAAAGTATTCTTCCTAAATGGAAAAAAAAAAAGGATTTCTGCTCTCGTAACTTATAGTCTACTTAGTACTGGAGGTTCTAGCCACTGCAGTACTATGGAAAAAGTAAACAAATGCCTACAGATTGAAAATAAAAACTGTCTCTATTCACAAATGATGTGATTGTCTATGTAGAAAATCCTAAGAAAGCTACACAAATACTATGAAAACACAAATGAGAGTTAAGCAAGATTGCAGGATACAAGGTAAAAATTAAAAAACCATTTCTATACACTAGCAGGAAACAGTCAGAAATAGACATTTTTAAAATACCAATTATAGAAGCATCAAAAATTAGGAAATAAGAATAAATTTGATGAAAGATGTGCAAGTTCTGTGCACTGAAAACTATAAAACATTGCTGAGAGAAAGATGACCTAAGTGGGCATATATACCATGTTCATGGATCAAGAGATGCAGTATTGTTAAGTAGAAGAAAACATAGGAGAAATATTAGTTACTTTGGATTTGACAGAAGATCCTTAAACAGACTTTAAAAATACAGACTATAAAATATTTTAAAAATTTGAATTCTTCAAAATTAGAAATTTTACTTTTCAAAGGGCATTATTAAGAAAATGAAAATGCCAGCCAGCCACAAATCAGAAGATGTTTGTAAAACATATCTGACAAAAATGTTATTTACAGTGTATGAAGAACACATATAACTCAGTAAGACGATCTAGTTTGACACTGGGCAAAACATTTGAATACACGAAGATGAAATAAATGTCAAATAAGCTCATAAAAAAGTATTGTTATTAGGGAAATGCAAGTGAAAACCACAATGAGATATTACTGTACACACTCAAATTATTAAAGACTGTTGAGAATGTGGTGCAGCAAAACTCTTACACTGACAGTGGGTATGGAAAATGATTTAATCATTATGGAAAAGCAAAGTATGTGAATGTTCATACCAAATTAATTCATAATGGTGCATAACCAGAAACAACCCAAATGCCCATCAGCAACACAAAAATGGACAAAATGTGGCATATCTACAAAATAAAATACTTAGCAATAAATATGAATGAACTTTTGACACAGCACATTTGAGTCACAAAAACGTGCTGTGT